TGGTGCCGGGTCACATGGACAGCCGGATTTGCAAAGCTAAGATGGCATTTTGAGCCAAATTAGGATTTAATCACGATTGCCGAAGCTTGGATAAGTTGTGAAAGAGTTCAAAATGACTTTAAGACCAGGCCTAAAGAAGCTTAAGACTTAGATGTTGACATAAAGTAGATCTGCCATATAGCCTTGATGGAATAAAGCCGTGGCAGTTGTGATCAGCATAGCTTAATTTTCTTTTGCAGCTGTTGGCCTTTCCAACGGAAAAGAGTGGACTCATCAAAGCACTGCTTTCGTTCGTCTGCTTTGCTTCAATAGTCTAAAGTATGATGAAATGTTCTCAAGATTGTCCGTGCCAGGTGATGAAGCCATCACTGTTCGGGCCAGAAGCCAAAGTGTTCAAGTGAACGCCTCCTTCGGTTGAGCTTCCAACTTGACTTGAAAACGAAATATTCTCAGAAATTTTGCTTAGGTGTGACCATTCTGAGCGTGCCTGAGTTTCGGTCACGACTTTGTTAGAGGTCTTCAATGAATCTCAGATAAGATTGAGCTTTTAAATAATCTCCTACATGTGCAGTTCTTTTTGACGTCAAACACTTTGTTCGCAACTGTTCATCAAATGACGGTCACAAAACGGGGTGTGGAAAGTTGAAATCATTCGTGATCCAGTCATTTCCAGTTGTGACCGTGAAGGTTACTATGCAAGTTTTGGGAGTCTATGAGTTGAAGCTCTAGATATCCAGAAGGTCTCCAATGTGGCCATTGTCAACCTTCGTTGTGGATGGATTCCCAACCATGGTGCACGGATCAACCGATCCTATGCCTGCATTGGCTCAAGGCTCAAGGCCGAGCCATTCGTCGTTCGAACGCATGACATGAGTCAGCGAGAAAAGGTGCGATGTGTGTTTGGGTTCGGGTCATGTCCCATGTTCCCTTTCATGCTTCATGTTAGGTTCCCTACATGTTCCAATCTGGTTCAGAAATTCCGCAAACACGGGTGATGCGAACGGTGGTATACTAAGCCCTACAGCAACCAGTGGCAGCAGAGAGAGAGAGAGAGATGGGTTTTATCTAGTGGGACTGGCGCTTTGTATGACCCTATTGTTGTACAATGTTGTACAGGGTCTAACATGTGCCAACCATTTCCAACCATTTCTATGTTTCCACTCCTTCCTTACCCAGCCGGTCGAATATACTCAACCGGCTCAACCCTTATCCGCTAAGTTTGGGCGTCGACTGAGACGTTTTTGTGCATTTCACACACCGAAGACCCGGTCCTCCCTGATCTATGGACCCGTGATTTGACCCTGTTGTATCCTTTGGTGCTTTCTCACATGACCCGGTCGTTCATGTGACCCTACTGATGTGAACCCCTCACATCGATATTCACATCGCAATGGAAACGACATGATCCATCAATCATGATCCAAAAAACCTGGATTTCGCTTCCCGCTTGATCACGACGGTTGATCCTCAGGGTCCACGCGAACGTGCCCCATGCGCTGGGAACCGATCCCAGGCGGGCTATGTCGTGAACACGCAGCGCACCGCCTGTGTGCCCTGTGCCGTGGGCCGCTACAGCGACGCCGCCGGCGCAGCGGACCGACGAAGGGCGAGAGAGCGCGGGCGGGCGGGGCGAGGTTCAGCGAGTGAGGAGTCTAAGCACCAGTGATTTCTGAGAGTATTGTTTAATGCAGTAGATGTTTTTAACAAACAAAGGGTGTCTTACTGTGAGTTTTAGACTATACTGAACCAGGTCAAGAAATTGTTTAAATGGTCTTAGGCTATAGGTGCATCTATATGTAGCTGCCCCGAGGAAATATCAAAAGCCGTGGTTCTTCAGACCCCCATGTGAGTGGAACAACCCTCCAAAGCTCTTCAACGCCCTACGGATTTTGGAGGTCTCCTTCCAGACGACAAAATCCACGTATGGACTCGGACCAAACACCGAATCCAAAAGGAGAAATGTAGACTCGTGATTGACAAAACTCGGTTTTACACTCCACATGGGCCGTATTTCTTTTTGAATCAAGAGTGTCTTAACATTAAATACTAGTTCAGGGCATGTGGCAGCATGATAGAGGGTCCAAGAATTGATCACACAGTTTTGTGATCCATCTCGTGAAAGAGTGGTGTGCGGGAACATCCCATGACCAGTTCAGTGGGCAAATTGGACGAATTTGGTTCGTTAGGGACGATTTACATCAGCATGTCTTATACAGATGTCACGAACCTGCACGTTTCTTGTCGAGTAGTCTTGGATGTTTGCTGGACCCCCCATTCCACTCATCGCCTCCAGTCAACGCGTTTGGGTTGAAACTCATCCAAACCAAAGCTGCAGGACTGCAAGGATTGTGGCTTGGGATTCTATGGCCTCAAGGTGCGGGCCAGGGGCTTGCAGAGTCAGTTCCGTGCGACCTTGCAGAGTCAGTTCCGTGACTTCGGGGCCACGGATTCTTCCTATATCTCCCTATTATATATATATACATATGTGATTATGTTTTATATATACGGGTGAACTACAGTAATATACAGTACTTATTTTACACTAGACTGCAGGTGAATTTAAACCGTATATATATATATTATAATTCATTCATCTCAAGCAGGAAGACCGCACCAAAGAAAGTTGCTCACAAGTGTCACAGACCTCCAATGTCAATAGACATGTTCCCAATGTATTTAGTTGTTCACTCATGGATATTTCGTGGCAGATGTCAAGTTTGGTTCCTCTGGAGAACATCCCTGAGGTGAATACATCCAGTCATACAAGTCCCCGCGGTTGCCAGGTCGGCTCTGCTTTTGTTTGCCCCTGGTGCCATTACTCAAGATAGGCAGTGTTGATTCGAACTGCTGGCCGAACCCCTGCTGCTGCCAGGAAGGAGGTGTCTCTGTGGCAGATGCCTGCCAGGAGAAGCTTTCAGGGGTCGACGGAAGATTTGGTGGAAACGTGAAAACGGTGTGGGTTTTTTCCAGGAGGTCGGGGGCCAGGTTGTTCCTTTTCCTTGGTTTGCTGGATGACTCACTTCCAGGCTTGGGTGGATTTGGACATTTATTGCATGCTGAAAAAAAGGGGCGGGTCAAGAAGCGGAATCGAATATTGGCCCAAGCATTCCCAAACAACATCTACTGTATCTAATTGTTTCTTTTCATGCGTGTACTTGCATCTCAGTTTCCAAGCAAAACCACCTTCAAAAAGACCTCAGACTCTCCATCTTCTCCACCACTGGCCCACTTCACCGGTCACCCCGGCCCATCCAGGGCTGCCCCGTGGGCCGCGTCAGCGACGTGACGTTCCTCGCGTCGGTGGACGGCTGTCGCAGCTGCGAGCCGGGCAGCTTCATGGGCAGCACCGGTGCCGCCAGCGCCTGGGCCGAAGGGGCGGAACGCCGGGTCCGCACGTGGGTGGGTTTGGCGGAAGGGCAGCGTGGGTTTGGCGGCTGGCGCCGCGGAATGAGGAGTAAGCCGGTGGGCTTATTGTGCACGCATTGGTGTGGGTGGAAGGCGGGCGAAGGCAGGTACCAGGCTGGCATGTATATCTTGGAAGCCTTGTGGGTTTCCGGATTCTGGCCGCCGAATCCAAGTTGCCTGATCTTGGTGTTGAATGGCCAGCGGAGAAATGGTCAAGAGCACTAGCACATACAGTCCTCAGGTTCTTCCATGGCCTCTTTATGGCTCCTAAGTGACCCCGTGGCGGAAGTGACCCCAAACTGAGGCCTCAACAAGTCACTTTGGAAGAACCTGGGTCAGACGCTAAAAGATGCAACAAAGTACTCGGACCATCCGAGGGGGTTGCACTGGAAACCAGAAGTGGTATAGTGCGCCTGAGTTGCAACTGTTTGTTGGCTTCCACCTACTGACAGAGGCAACTGGTGCACTGCAGGGCTAGTATCTTGGCAAGGTTCACCCATTTTGATGCCCGATGTCAGGTCTGTCCTTTCCCAGATCGTCCGCTTCACTGCTTTCCCTTCAGGTTGTGACCCATGCCCTGCTGGGGAATATCAGGCCTGGACCGAGGTTGGTGAACAAAGCACATGACTGCCTCAAGTTTGAGTCTCATGCCAGCACATTGTAATTGATGAATCCACTGCAGCGACACTGGAAGAGATAGAACATTTGGCAGAAGTATTCAATAACTTCCAAGAGGAAATGCAGTACAGTAACTGTATGGGCAAGTGTTGCCTATCCCAGGCATTCCATGTCGTATATCCATGTATGGCATATTACCGACATTGGCGTGGTTTCCAGGGTCAACGTAGGCTTAACATGGAGAGTGTGACCCCGGCTTCCCAGGAGACCTCTGGGCAAGCAGTCACTTGGCAGACCTGGGGTGGCCTGGGCTTTCATCAGCATCCCACCATAAGATTGTCAGACGGAGGTTAGGTTAAGCTAGCACACACACACATACAAGTAGGACCATACAAGGACGTATAAGACACACACACACACACACACTGACACAACAAAATCACTTCCATTTTCCCATAAAGGGTAAGTCTCCAGTGTTGAGCGTTGCCAGAATTATATATAAGATGAGCCAAGCTGAAATATGATATAGCACAATATATACAACTACGACGATGCCGATGATTCTATGTTTGTTTGCCAGCAGGGTGGCTGGTTGGCTGGTAGTGCCATGCGGTCCGCCGCAGCAGATGCACGGGAGCGCAGTGTTCTGGTCATGTTGACTGAGCATAGTTTGGAGCGCGGCATGTAAATTGCAAATCCATCAAAAATACACACTGACCCACTAGCAGGGAAGTGGAAAACCCACGGTTTGCCAAAGAACATCGTTTTCCGAAAGGCCATGCACGTCAGACCGTCACCATGTGATGCGTTCGTCCGCTCCATGCCCAGCCCATCCCATCCCACCCACCAGCACAGTTCACATCAGAACACCACTCACAGTGATGGCTGCGGATCAACACCCAGACACCTAGTCTCCCCTGGTAGGTTCACCTCCAACTCGTAGTCCATTCTGTTCATGGTCCGTGGTAAGCCAGGGTCCCCCCGCCCACAGCCTGATCATGTGACGGCCCAAAACCGTCGCCGTTTTTGGTGGATCCGCCTTCTTTGGCTTCGCGCTGCTGTGAACAGCGGTTGGGCCGCCCAAGCTGGAACGTGGATGGGGGTCGGGTCGATGAGGGTTTGAATGATTGGATGATTGGATTTTGATTGATGATCACCCTCGCCGCCTTACGCCTGCGAACTTTCTGATGGGGACCCAGTAAGAATCAGTTTAGAACCCCGGGCTTTTTGCCATCCTGTACTCTTCCATGCATTTGCTGCCTATCTATGGGTCCGTGTTTGGAAAATCCTCTTTGGGTTGCCCTCCAGGAAAGTCCGTACATTGGATAACGAGTTTTGAAGATCTCAAACTTTCTTGACGAATGATGTGAATAAGGATTCAGAATCCTTTGGCTTCATTGGCAATTGTCTTTGTTGGGGTCAATCTGGAGGGGTGAAGGTAGCTGGGATTAGCACCTTCCTGAAAGCATGACTATAGTCTGGCATTCTCATCGACCGGTGATTGCCCCACGCAAAAGGCCGTCAGCATCGACCAAGTTTCAAAAGCTTCCAAGTTTGCGATTGGTCCAGTGTTGATAGTTGATACCCTGCGACATCCTGTGACTCTTATATAATTTGGGCAACCCCCCGCCACACGCCACACGCCGTAAGTTGTTTGAGACAGCTTCTCTTCGTGAGAGTTTGGTGCCAAGGGATCTTCCAAGATCTTTCTCTATGCTCAGTGCCTTCCATATTCCATGGCGTTCCTCGGCGCAGCAGTGTGTTCCGCTTCGAGGTGTCGTTCTGAAGATGTTCTAACATATCCATGGATAGAACCTGGGAAATCCTCCTGTGCGGTGAAAAAAGCCGGTCACGGTCAAACAGATGTCTCAGAATTTGTCAGGGTATCTCAGGGTATGTTGATGTCTCAACGCAGCTGGTCTTTTCTCATTCAAACTTTCCCCGCCTCCCCCAGATGGGCGTCTTGAAGAGCTGGCAGCTGTGTCGCCATACAAGTGGGCCCCGACTTGTTGGGTCAAATTGGCAACCAGGGGAACATGGCACAAGTAGGATGAAGTAGGACCTTAAGTTGTGAAACCAGGGCTTTCCTGAAACAATGCTTGTTGTGTGCACCCAAAACATGTGGCGCCATTTGCTGCTGCCTGACAAAACCACCTGTGTTAAGCCACGTTTGTCCTCCAATTTGCTCCCGTTGTATGTATCCGGTCTGTATCTACGCACCGCACGCATGTATGCTGTGTATATGTGCTATTTACACTATGTCAAATCTTCTAGCAATCTTACACCACCACATCCTTTGAACCTACGTCACAGTTGGAATCTTGACACTGATGATTACCATCGTTTGTTGTTTGTTTCTCGCATTCTCGTCCAACAAGGACACCCTTGCTGGTCGCCTTGCTTCAAGGCCGGCTCGATGGCACGCCGGTACGAGCAGGTCGATGGTCCTCTCCAGGGGTATGGGATGGTGTGGGCGCCCTGAGGATCCATGAGGATGTGATCCTGCCTTGAATCCGCCACAGGTTACACCTGCACAACTGAAATTGGACGAGAATGGCTTTGTCCCCAATCTCATTGGTCTTGCGACCGTCACCTGGTGTCTCTGACCATACTGGACCCCAAAATCAGTTCCATGGTCCAATCAACCGCAGTCCCTGTGTCAGATGAAGCACCTCATCGTCGCAAGGCCGCGAGCCAGTCGCAGTCGCGGCCCGGACCAACCCCGATTCGCCGGGGGGGGGGGCCGAAGCCATGGATCGGTGCCGGGAGTTGCTGGAACAGTTGTCGCAAGAGCTGGAGCTCCCCGGCCGAGACCGAGATCTTCACTGGATGGCGGAGTGGTCTGAAAGGAAGGGAGATGACACCAGTGGGGTGTTCCTTTTCATCCCTTTTTTTTTGCCTTGTTGGGAGGGTGGTTGGGCAGAAAGACTGCAGCTTGCTAGCTTTCGTCACCATGTCCTCAAGTCTGCTAGGAGTCGAGTACACTAGCCGAGTTTTGTGTCATTCACTGTGTTGGAGACGACCCGGGGGGTTCGACCCGTGCTGTCCGCTACCAGGTTTCACCATGAAAGGCATGAAGCGTTGCAAGCAGAAAACCGGAATCTTAAAGCCACTTGGATGCAATCCGGAATTGCCGGAAGCAGCTTCCCTCCAACAATCATGGTTCTGCGTGGGTGACACAATGATGTGTGTTTTTCCGCTTCCATGGCAAGGAGGATAAGGAGGGGAAGATGCCAAAAGATGCTGGAAGTATGGGATGTGCAGCGGCCTCTATTGTTGGTATCATTCGCTCCTCTTGCTGGACTCTACAAGGCTTCTCCTCCTGCTCCTCCTCCTCATCATCATCCACTGCTTGAATCTATATATATATATATATACAGTGATTATATTGGAACATACTCCAAAAATCAATTGTCCAAAATAGAGTCAGATCAGCCCCAGAAAAACTACCCCAACACTGGTCCCGCAATTCGTGCCCTGTATCGAGTTCCCTTGTGAAGAACCGCCGAGGAGTTGCATGAAACACCTCCAGTGGACAAGCTCATCACCAGTACCTCCATCAATTTGGCCGCGAGTTCCTAAGCATGCGTCTTCATGCGTCTTCAGTGCAGCAGGTTGTCAGCCATTTTAATGCAGGAATCCTCACTGAGAGATCGGATAGACGGTTGGACTCGTTTATAAATTCCAAATGCATATCCACTTCAGGGGCATGATCCATCATATGGAACAAACATGCAACAATGGGCAACTTACATGACTTGGATCATATGGTCCTCGGTCAGCCTTGATCCGAATAAGAACTGGCTTTGCAGCAGAAGAAGAACCCGTTGTAGATGCTGCAGGTTGACCTTACAGCATAATTTGTCGCAGCTTCAAAGCCGGGTGTGCTGTTTGCGCCCCTTTTGTGTAAAAGAAACTTTGTGCTGTTCAAAGCCTTTGGTTTGATAAAGCTTAGCGCTTTGGTAAGCCTGGCCGTCGGCGGGCTGGTAAGAAAACCGGCTTTGCGGCATTTGATAATTGCAAGGTTTTCCCCTCTCGAGCTGCATTTCCAGGGTGGACTGACAGCGTCTTGGTCCATTTAACTTCAATCCTTGTGAGCCTCCGTTAAGTAGAGTTCAAAGCGCCTGAAAAAAAGCTTGATTATGTTCACACGACTTCTAGTTTTTGATAACCAGCAAGATGATGTGCACTCCACTAGCCTTTTGCTTCTTTCTCCTGTTTCCATTTCGTGCCGACCATGAACAACCTCCGTCGCCTGAGCGGAGCAGTTTTTGTTCCTCGACTCTGCAGTGAATCAGGTTTCCCACCGGTGGTGGGCATCCCTCAACGAGCGAGCCAGGCGGGTCAGATCGAAGAGATGACTCCTTAGGACCAGCGGATGATCGTGGGACGTCCCATTGTGTCGCATGATTGATAATGGGTAGCCCCTTGGAAGATCGAACCTGAAAGCTACGGTTTGTGGAGGAACATCGTTTTCCAAGAGTCCATTTTCAGGTTCCATGATAATTGACATTTCCGGATATTTCCGGGTGTAAGTATGATTTTATATAGCCGCTAGACATGGACAAGATCTAGTATGAACTAGCTACCAAACAATGCCAGGATTGTTTTTCTTCACACATGTTCACAAGGTTCTGGCCTGTTTGTCATGGCTGCTATGGCGAAACCTCCAATCACCCACGTTGCTCCATCCACCATGCCCAGACTCTTTATTGCATGGAAGACCCTAATGCTAGCAACTATTTCATACATGGATGGTTTGGGATTAGTTATTGGGACTTGGATATTTGCTAGAACTTTGGAAGAAGTAAGTTTTCTTCAATTGCAGGATTCACAACAAGCGATTTCCAGCTGAACAAACTGGATGCACAAGCTGACGCACGGGCATGATTGGATGGTTAGGTAGGGGTGTTCACGGAGGTCATCAGGACGTGACAGCTGTGACAGCTCTGTGACAGCTGCGATTCTGAAGATTTCTGAACTATTTCAGCGAGTCATTGGGACTTCAGATGTTTTCTTTGGTACCCCAAAAAATTGGTTGAGAAGTTTCTGGATGCATATGTCTGCCAAACCCTCCCACACGATGCCATTTTGATGCCAACCCTTGCCCTGTACGATCCCGCGCGTTCTCGGTGCGCGTCGACGGTGGCAGTGAAAAGAGGGCCGTGATATGTAATTGTTATATATGGGCATAACTTAACTGAGAGATGTATAATATGGGTGTATATATGGTATACATCAGACTGACCCCCTATGATTTTTTGATGTTCGGAGACTCTTTGGGTGTGGATGATGATTGCAGGGTAAGTCAATTCAATCGCCACTAGAGCCTGCCGGGAACCAGAGATTCCAAGACTGCTCGCATACTGCTTGCATGAAGCTAGACAGGACCCCTGCATCCTTAAAAAACTGAGTATGGGCATTATCAAAATACTTCTTTAGACTCCATCCAACAATCATGGAAGTGGAATTCACCCCCTCCTTGTGGAAGAACATACGACATGTTCGAACAGGGGGCATTGTCCTGTTCATGAGAACAATGAAAGGAGATGGAAGGAGGGTGGCGGCCCGCTTCAAGGCTCACGCCGAGGATATAGTATGCCAGTTGACGAACCTATGACAAAATATAACAAAATACCATACCACCCACTGGTAGATTCCAAAGGTCCATACCATCGATCCATTTAAAATTGAAGAAAAACAAACATATGGACCATACCATCCACTTCCATGTCAATGCATTGGACTCCGTGCCGCGCTTCGCACTGGTTGGGCGGCGTCAGCTAGGTCTCTTTTGCGGAGTCAGTCCGCTCGCCCTCGCGCACGTCTCGAGCGGCCACCGTGCACCACCGACGCTCCACAGGTGGGAGGGGTGGGAGGGCAAAACAGGATCCATGAAGGAAATCCTTCAAAATGGGATCGGATGCGAGAGATAGAGAGAGAGAGAGGGAGGGAGATCGGGATTAGAGTTCAGGAAGAGTTGCAGCTTTTCCACGTCTTTAAAAAGGTCGTCAGGGACAAATCATACCTGCCGGGATTTCGAGCACCCCAGGGATCTAGACGGATGGGAAATGACTCTGACTAGGCTTGGCTTGGAGTAGATTTCGATCTGGACGTGTTGGAACAGCAGGGAGTGAACGAGGGAGATAATGTAGAACGACAAGAGGGCACGGAGAACCTAGAATAGTATGTAACAGTGAATTTTGTTGCACAGAATGAGTGCCTTCTACGTGGTGATGAATGGTGTGTTTGGACGGTCCTCGCTTGTGTCATCAGGCCTGTTTGGACAACTAATTGGCTAACAACCTTGAGGGAATTTGAAGGATAGTGTCATTTTCAGTGAGAGGGGGTCTGGAAAGTGCTCACACCCAGAAGTGTTGTGTTCAGCATGAACCAGAAGATTACTACCATGCCAAATCACAAGCAGCCATGTTCATCCCGGTGGGTTGATGGGGCATGTTCATCCCTCCCCCCCCAATAAAAAGAAAGGAATCGTTCGCCGTCTGACAGGCTTCCAAACCTTGTTCTTCCACCAGCCTTTTGCCGTTCGTCCTATCAGGCTTTGCGTCGGAATCCTCCGGGACGAAGTCCTTGCTTGCCACTTGGCGGGACGAAGGACGACACTCCCTCAAACTGGTTACGTGGATGGCACCACCTGTTTGTAATGGAGAATGGCCTTCCTTTCGGGGCCGTTCTCCACGTAACCATGTTAGTTCTAGGGAGTGTAAGTATGGCCAAGCAAGGACGAAGAGACATCTCGTACGGCCCACGTGGCCGTACTAACTGGGTCCATACTTAAGTATGGCCACGTAAAACGATGCACAAAACGGATCAAAACGGAAGATTTCGTTGCATGGGCTGTTGGAAGATGACAGGCCGACAGGTTCCCTGTTGTTTCCCCTTTTTCTCCCATGGAAGATGAGCAGAACCCTCGCATTGCATGAGGATTCCATGGGGTTATGCGTCCCACGGGAGAGCGGCGTAAGTGGAGATGCTGGGAGAAGTACGTACAGGAGGGTCGCCCCTGACAGTGACAAGCGCATGAAACATGTGACCAAGACTCGCAAAGCCAAGCGCAGAGATTGGTTTGGATATGTTTGGATGATTTTGGGAGGGCAAAGATTAACAAGAAGGAGGCATGTGCTCACCTTTGTTCCTAGAATCTGGGGCACCTTGGATGTTGCAAGGTGTCTCTTGTTATTCCCTTGTGGATCCCCTGTTTGCTGTGAATACGACATCAACCAGCGTTTGGGAGCAAGGATGCCAACACGATTTCAACCACAGACATTGGCTGCCTACTAAACTCCGCATTAAAACTACTACCGCTTCCGCTGAATGCAGTTCACGCCTTCTATTTTGACCCAATTTGGGAGCTGTGTGCCAGGCAAGTGGTACGGACCACACAGC